TATCAATTAAATGAATTAGTCATAAAACAGGCTAGGGATTAAATCCATGTCTCCCTGTAACACTATTGAGATCTGCGAACTTAGTATTGCGTCTAAGCTATTGTTGATTGATTTAAATAACCAGATTCGTTAGTATTAGACCCAGTTACGTAAAATATAGCACATGGCGACAGGCATCCTGCTACAATTAGCCTGTCCTGCCTAAAGCGTTATCTTTTCACTGCTTTCTTCATCCCGTTCTGATATGAAGTAATTAAATAGCAAAGACATGATTCAAACAATCTTGCTTCAGCGACTCTGTTGCATTGATGCAGTCATTCTATTACCTTGTCTGCATGATCGGTCACAGTCAGCATAACCTTCGCCTGCATCACAGTTACACTCTGGCAATAATCTTATTACTCTATTGAACTATTCTAGTGATTCCTTCATTTGTCATGTGTAGAGTTTGTCGGCCTCCTATTGCCGTTGGTCCGCTGTCACGATTAGCCTGCTCCAGGGGCGTAATTTGAACTATATCCGACCGAAGAAAGTATCGCTCGATTGAAGATTGACACGCTATAGTCGTTGCTTTCGATTCACCTAATTAACTAATTATTATTATTATTATTACTGTTATTTTGTTGCAATTATTTGATTATAGCTACCATAGAAGCTCACTGAATCAGGTTTTTCGCTTAGTGATTTTCTAATGCTCAGCCTGTGATTCCCTTCCCCCTAACCTTGGTGTAGTCGTCCTATTAATAGGTTGGTGATTAGAGTATGATTAGTTAACTCCGCCTTTATTTTAAAATATCCCAGTAACCTTTTTTCTTTGTTACAATTAATCCCGCAACCTGAAGAAACAATTGAGCTCGACTCCGAAATTGCATAACGAATTTACTTCACTTATACAAGAAAAGTTTACCTCGTGGCCCCACTCGAAGGCGTCACGCAGCTTACACCCCATACGCCTCTACAGTTATACCCGTTCCCCTATTGTAACATTGACAGCCTGTCACATTTTAAGCCGCTTCTTCCTTTCAAGTCTTTCTACCCTTGCAAAAAGACAAATAAGATGTCGAGACGTTTCACAAGCACTTTGCGAATAAAATAATAATAATAATAAACATTACACTTTTTTATATGGCAAAAAAACGCTCGTCAGAAGAATTGTGCATTTAACCAAAGAATATGATTCATATGACGGTAACAAAATTTATATTTCTATATATAGTTTCGTGGTTACGAGGACACATACATAGGTGTTTCGCTTGGGATCGGAGGATGGGACGGTAACGACTGGGAAAAAGGAGGAGGAAGAGGAGGCCGTTGCAGTGGCAGCGAAGCTGCTGCCAGTAGCGGCAATGCCGCCTGGCGGCGAAACTGCGCATAGCGATGCCACTGACGCAAAGGGTGCCCACATACATACACATATATATATATATACACAAGTCGAACACACATGCATCCAAAGAGACACTCATGGATATATACATATATATATGTGTGTGTGTGTCTGTGTGGTTATGCCTGTATGTATATACTTGGCTGGCTTGCTAGTTCGCTGACTGGTTCTATCTTTCGAGCCTAAGGGTTTTCACGGCCACACACAGACACAGACGCAAGTGAGATATTCATGCAGATACTCTTCTACACTCTGGCAGCGGGTAGACAGACAAAGCGCCGTAGCAAACAACAAGCGAATGAGAAAGTACAGACCAGCCAGGCAGCCATGCTTCAGTGGTTGGTTCAGTTCACTGGCGCCCGTTCCCTGCCCTTCCCTCCCCAGGCTACAGCAAAGTGGGGCCGCTCCGCCCTTATGGGCGGCGCCTGTCGTGGCCTATGGCTCCTCCCAGAGCGACTGTCTAACAGCTCGCAAATCTCCCTGTTGAGATATCTTCTTACTTTCTCCTATATAGGAATATATCTATTTTATTGATATCAAGACGACAGCAGGATGCTGCAGGAGTGATTCTCGCTGAAATGTGTCATGCCTCTACCGTGTATGCCGTGCCTGGATCCCAACGAGCGCCTGCCGCTGGCGGCTTGTTCGTTTCGATCGCTGTGCGGGATCCTTCGTCTTCGTCTCCCTCTTAACCGCTGCTAGCATCACTGCTATTACTACCACCACGAACTAAGCAACTGCAACGGCAGCTGCCACTGCGCCATCGGCACTAGTCAGCTGGCCCCAAGTTCTAGTCATTACTAACCTTCACTAATTGGTCATTACAAGCGTCACTACGACACGCGTTCTACCAGTGTTACTGTTAATGCTGGCGCTACCGCTAAGTATCACAGTTAGAACCTATAACCTAATATTTGTCTAGCGCCTAATCTAGTGTGAAAGATCTAAGTCAAAGAGACGGCCTGCTTGCTAGCTCCCTCTAGTGAGAGTAACAAGTATCAGCCCACCCAGTGGACGTGTTTAAGCTGAAAATATTATAGATACGAGAGTAACAACGACAATTCTAGTACGTTACCCTAAATCAACGAAGATAACGACTACCGCCGTCGCCGTCGCCGTCGCCGCTACTGGTATTCCATAAGTGGTATCGCTGTGATTACGATTGAGGTTATCCAGTGCGGTTCGCGTCACTGACACACGTAACCATATTAACTGCCTGCCTGCTTTCGCGCGCGTTTCTCGTGCTGCTGCTGTTCAGCTTGAAGAACAGGTGCGATATGAACAGTTGCTGTATGTGCATTTGGCCTCCTCGACTCGAAGACCATTGTTGATCATTGGCTTTCGTAAGGCCACACTTCGAAACCGGCTCCATAAGATTTACGTCATTATCATCATCGTCGTCGTCGTCATCGTCATCATCATCATCATCATCATCATCACCGTGGCCGTAGATCTGCGATAATAGCAGAAGTCGCTTATTATCGTCAGCGTTTTTTCGGCTGCTACCGAGCGTATGTTATAGAAGCAGCAGTAAGCTTGCCGTCAACTTACCTTCGTCCCTAGCTGTAATAACTGTATATCTGCATGTGTATGTGTGTGCGTGTGTTTAAGTGTAAGTGGAAGATCAACGCAAGAGTGGTCTATTGAAGCTAAAGACAGCTTCGATCTTGAGCTTGTCGAATAGATAGTCGACGCATTTCCCTCCGGCGAAAAAGAGGGGCGCCGCTGCCGACGAAGGAAATACCTTAACGCTAACAACAATAATAAATACATTAAATTCACAAGTATTGAATTAGTGAAATGTGTAAGGGTAAAATATAAAGCGAGCTGAAGGGGAAAACCATCGATTATCTCGGCATCGACGCTACCGTCAGAATCGCTGCTAGGACAGCCCCGAGCTGCAACTACAAACAACCGCTACAGTCTGAGCCCCTCAGTAGACACCGCCGCCACCATCGTACAACAACAAAGCGGTGACGGTAACGGTATCAACACGGCGGCAGTGACATCATGAGCAATATGTCATCGTATTACGATTACTATCAAACAGCGGCGACCCAACAGCCCCGCCGATTCGACCCAAACCCTAAGGATGTCAACTATCGTTGTTACATGAACTACCAAAAGTTTGACACCCAGCCGGTTGCAGTAGGTGTGAACGCATATGGCCCAACATCTGCTGGTGGCCCCGGCGACTATATGGGTCACAGTGGCACGTCCGCCAATGTGATGGGTCTGGGTGGGCCATCATCGTGCGAACCTGGCGGCGTGGTGTCATCTATTCCCTATCCGGGGCATAGTCACAGTCCTGTCATGCCAACTCCCTCATGTGGTGGGGGTGGTCAGCTGACTGGCAGCGGAAGCGGTGGGGGCATTCCGCCGCAACAGCAGCAGCAGCAGCAGCAGCAGCAACAGGCGGTATGCAATCCCGCCGCGATCGTCGGCGGCACCGAGGACGCCTTGTCAAACTCGAGCGAAGACCTATGTTGTGGTGGTGGAAATGGCGGTGGTGGTAGCAGTGATCTGTCAGCGTCCTCTCAGCATACGCCCCCACTGTCGCAGACGTCCGCGGCGTCGGCCGGATACGGGCCGCTTTCGACGGCGTCGATTTGCACAATGACGCCGAGCGTTGTTCCACCAGCAAACGTCAATGCAAGCATCTCGTCGGTCGCAACACACGAGGATCGAACCTGCAGCTCGCTAAGCCCGGGCAGCCCGTACTATCCGACCGCGGCCCCCAATGAGTGGGAAAGGTAGGCAGTCAATGCAACAGCAAGAACCAACCAGAGCAAGATAATATTGAAGTGTCATTTTACTAGTTTTTATTATTACTCCTATTATTATGAATATTATGGTGATGATTATCGTAAGAATACGAAGGAGTTATGGGCCGATTGGCGTATAGGTGTAGCCACGTGGGCTTCACGTCAATAATGCCAGCGGTACATCCAACATTCTCCGGTTAAGAGGTAGACGGGCGATTTATTCTTGCGTCAAGGAGTTCTGTCTTCGTGCACATGGTCGAGACGAAGTGTTTGCTATAGTTTTGTATAGTGGTCCGTTAATTAAGGAGACGAACTAGGAAAGTAACGAGTGTGGAGGAGCAGATGATTTTCATTTTGTTTCGTGAATTGTTTACCGGTTCAATAAAGGCTATGGCAATATTTTTTCCCTCACAGCACAGATTATCAAATGTAGTCGCTTAAAAAAGTCCGTGAAAAAAACAAAAGATTAATTATGCGTCTAGACACCCCCTGCCACTATCGGTGACAACAATGTTAACCGAAAAATGTGTAGTTGAGCGGTTTCGAACCCCCCTAAACATCTCGATGATGACCATGGAGGTACTTTCGGCTCTTCTAGCTTGCAGCCACATCATAAAGGCTCGAAAGCTGACAGTTTAAGTAGCTACTTTGAGTGATTTATACGAGTACTGACTCACTGTGTTGAAGAGGAGTCAAGTGTTTAAAAAAGGTTATTACAAAATATGCCTGTTCACTTTAGGCGGTTTTTCCGGCCTTCTGTTTATTAGGGGGTAAGGATTTAGCGAGTCGATATTGTCGTGTTAACAGAGTAGACCTGCAAGGCCATCAAGTAGCGGAAAAGAAGGATTTCGCACTAGAATGTTTGAACCTGTACCCGGAATGGGCATTCACGATAGGTTTTGGTAGTGGGTGACACCTTTGTTGTCTTGAAGTGCACCTGTCTCTCGTTTAATGACCGATCGGAAGGTAGACATTTTACTTGGCAGGCAGATTCAAACTAGCGGTTTGAAGCCGGCTAGTAAAGACGCGTCTGTGTTTATTAATCAGTGTCAAATCGTATTTAGATATAGTTTAGTAGTTGAGTAATTACAGTAATGATATGTTAATGGCTGTCACCAGATTTCCTTCACCAATAAAAATCATTGCTATCATTTCTCATAAGCTTAAATCTCGACCATACGATGCGTAAATAAATGTATCTCGTCAAAATACGTTCATTTGTAATTGTCCTTTGTCTACTATAACTTTACGCTTACCTAATGTCGTGCATTTACTATCACAGTATCGTTTTGAGATGCCAATTCTGTTTATTTTTATTGCTCTCTATGCTAGTCCAATCTGTGACCAAAATAAAAGGGTAATAATAAACCCTTTATATATATATATTTTATAAATAGATTTCGGACTAAGATGTTAGGGGATCAAGTATGTTATGCGGTTTGCAATAACGCTGCCAGACGTCTTACGTACCACACGTAAATGCATCCTAACTACTGATGTTTATAGTGTGGCACAATAGTATCACACAAGATGTCTATGGAGAATGCTTGACATCTGATGTTGTGACTATGTGAATAGAGATGACAAACTGCCTTCGTTATTCCATTTTGGCAAAATCTTACGCAATATGGTTGCAGACATGCGTCGGCTGCTATGGGATACGCGCAGTTAGTTCCCTCGGGCGAGGAATGAGTTCTGTTATGAGATGGGAGGCTGGGGAGTCGGGGGTCGTTATCCTTAACAAACGACACTGCACTCTGGGGAGCCCTGGCTACTGACTGTCGAGACGACGTTCGTGCAGGGGAAGCTGCACTTTTTGTGTCTCTTACTACCAATCGACAGACAGGACGGAACGATGCAAGCGTCTTGGAATGGGGCAATTGTCTCCTGAGGTGCTCATCTAATGAGCCCTTTTACACGCCAAATATTTTGACCATGCCCTAAAAACAGAAGCATGACCGATTCGTATTCCGGCGTCTACAAGAATTATCGAACGAACTTCATTTACATGATAGAGTAACAAATAGTACTCTTAGCCCACCAATGTGTTCGTTCATCTGTGTGCCTATGGAGACTCGTATACCCGTATTCTCGTTACGGTTATTGAAATACACAGTCAATTGTTAGTGTCACAGACCGTTATAAGTTTTTATTTGTATGTCTTTTAAGTTTCGGCCATTTAGTTTATCTTTCTACAAAGTTAACTGTAGTTAATACTCTATTTAGGATTTACACAGGAAATCGTTTTGTTTAGGCGAGTAGAGCGCTTATTGCTGACACATTTAAATTTTCCAGTTAAGATACAGATGTTACAGAAGTTTGTAGGGCAGACGGTTTGCGGCATTTTATGTCACCCATATTTCGCTCCGGATAATATGCACCGTTTTGGAGAAAAGGGAAAAACTATAAAGGGGTTTCCGCCCTTTTGAAGGACCTCCTAGCCGATGTGCGTTTTCTTTCCTGCATAACTATACACGTAAACCATATATCCCTCATAATTTGGAGTGAATGGAAAACAAGTCTAACAAAGCCACGTTCAATCATTTCTGGCTGTGCAAAATCTAAAAATCATAATGAAATATTTAACATTATTATGCTATTTCGTCAAAGAAGCTTCTCACTGCAGCTAGCGGCGGCGATGAATACACGTAAACGATCAACGAAAAGCAGTAGTATCGGTATGATCTTGACACATAGGGTACCTTGAATCGTATAAAATGTGGGCGCGTTCTCCGTTTTTCCAAACATGTCCATACATGTACCAATAAATATAGGGGTTAATTAAAAGTATTTATGTATGTAGTTCACTTGGAGACAATGGATAAGGCATTTTACTCATCGAAGAAGTATAGTAAATTGACGAGCTTGCCCGGCAGCTGTGGCACGACCGTACACCCCAGACACGCTTCCATACTTCCGCGTATACATCGACCTTTGCCAAATGGTTACGTTTGGTAAATGTGGGCTCTTGAATGAAATATAGTAATTTTTTCTTGCGTCGAGACTCTCTTCTTAAAATTGCCTATTTCTCGCTAAAAATAGGCAGTAGGAATCTCTACAGGCCGAGCTTCTACTAAGACAAAAACGAACACCGCTACGTATGAAATTGTTGATAAATTAATATATGATATTAATGAGTTATCCCTTGATTCGGCATTGAAGTCAACGGTGTAGCAGGAAAATGAAATTGAATAATAATAATTGATAAATAAAATTATGGAATGGGGTACGTGATATCGAAGTCAAAGCAAATTGGGTTTTCCCCATTTTACGCTGTGTATCCGTCACGTATATCTCACTGCGAACGTCTATCTGCGACCGTGAACAAATCGGTCTTGAGGATACTTTTGCCACGTCTGCTCAGGAGATTGGAGGCCAAGGTCAATCCAGCCGGCAGACAAATACGGTATCGATCGAATGCAGTTACAAGGATAATATAAGTACGGGTGCATAATTTCGTAGTAAACTACAGACGCTAAAAAACCCATTTCCAGCAGGGTAGGGAGTGTGTGTGGAAAGCACAATGGTAAAGCATTTAAAGCGCCTGATTAGCGGGTAGCAGTACAGACTGTGCAAATACAGATAAGAGACGGGGCATCATCGAATATTAGCACTAAGACAACTTGTAAGCTTCTTATGTTGAATTACGCTCTCTCTCTCCTAATGTTGTCCCTATTTTCTGATATCTTTTTTAAATTTCGCTTTTATTATCTTTATAGGACTAGTATCGTATATAGATAGTTCTACGTACAATGAAATTACTATGGAGCATGTATGTGTTCAACTACTGTGTGTTATTTGTAGTCTGTTACAATATATAATTAAACTAGATTTATCATATATTGCACCAAACAAGGTAATTCAGTCATATTTAAAAAAAAATCTGTGCGGCCTGAACGCAACTTCACACCTGTACTGACCTTGGTATATGATATTTGTATTGCATAGTTTTTTCGGAAAAAACAATGAGCAATCATCAGTTGAAAAACGATTGAAGGACGCATGATAAAAACGATCAATTGGCGTTGGAACTTTAAACTGATGATAACTGAAGACTTACTATGTTCAGTTCCTGAGTGGAATTCGACCACTGGGCATCATAATCATTTAAAGTACTACTTCTGGGCCAAAAAATCCCGAGTTTTGCTCTGTGCCAACTAGATATTCGTGTATCGTACGAATGATAGTTCTCGTCTTTGCCGTGATCCTCACTGGACTCAAGACCCATATGACACTATTTTTCTAGCGGTGAGAACAGTTTTTTTCAACTCAATTCTAACAATAGACCCTCACACTATCCTTGTTTTTGCTCTCGAATCTTCTTGACCGCCTCAAAGCTTGTCTTTTAGGCATTTCCTAATGGTTACGTAAGTTAGACCTAGTGAATGGAGGCTAGAATCAAGATATCCATATATATATATATATATAGGTAACCATCTAAATCTCCTACAAATGTGGCGATATATGACGCAGTACATTTTTTGTAGTCAAAAACCTACGACCTGCCCTCCCAGACACTGACCCATAACCTAGTTCTTGAAACGAACCTTCTGCAGCATCAGCTGTGTATATTTAATCTCGTTGTTAACATAGAATATAATAATGCTCTTTGAAACTTCTTTTAATTTTCTAAGAAAAAAGGAAATGCGCTCAAAAATCGTTCGCTTCAAAGCATCTAAAATACAGAGCACAGCTTGAAGTGCTCTCCGAAATTTGGTTGGTGGGTAGAGACACAGACGGGCTAATGTAGGTTTAAGGGCCCGGTCACGCACTGAACTGTAGCCGGCAAAGTTCGACCCTTTTATCAGTACTTCCTGAATCAGTAGTATAATATCTGTCTATCGAAAAATGTATTTAACGAATATTGCATTCGACCAAAGGAAACTAAACCAATAATAAGTTAATTAGGCCCTTTAATATATGCGAACATTATTGTTTGTATAATTAGATATTAATTTTTTTTCACATGTATGCCCATGTACTCGCACCTAATTATTGAAATGCTTGTTGTAAATGACTCCAATTATTCTGTTGCGTTCGTAAAGGCACTATTATATCGACCAGCGAAATAGTGCACCTCTCCTCCACTATCAGTAACCACGGCCGACGTTGCTTGTCCCAAGGACCGAAAGCATTCCGTAATCCAGCATAGTTGTATGCCCATTCAAAGGACGTTTCAAAGGACGATGGGTCTACCCCAGCCTGCTCGCACGCATTTCGCTTATTCTGAGACGCCGTTGGAAATCAGGGAATATAAGATGTAGGCTCGAGGACCTGCTTCGTTCCAGATATTGATCGTAGGTAGTAGGAATAAAAATGCTCGTCATTCACAAACATAAGAGATGAATAAGATGATGAATAGTACACTCGACTCGATAATGGGCTACGTCATCGCAGTGTATAAATTCTAATTTATTTTAAAAAACAAACGACACATTTTAGCATAAGGGAACGTATCTCCGTGTACGTAATACCCAAGACTCATGCCGCTTAAAGCCCTATAGCACCTCATACACAAACAGGTACGCCCAAAAATAGCGCTGGCAGTGTCTTCAATAACAAACGAGACAAGCTTGCATCGGCCCGATGCGACCAAGCGCTATCGAGACCTCGTCTCTTTCTTTGCTCTTATTCGGAATTTTTCAGGCTTGTCGCGGAACAGCTCTGCAGCTATTCCGGCCTGCTAGCGGCTTGGGTTTACGACACCCTATCGAGATGACCCCACGTGTTAGATCACACCGTTTTTGGATAGATGACGCCATTGTATAATAGATCACTGAGTCCGCTAAACAACCCTATACACCGTTACAGAAATTTTGAAAGCGTAGATTCCAATCATCTTATTTAACTAGCCGAGTTTTAATAATTGAAAAGCTTAGTTTTTTTTTTCTCTTTATGCTAACGGTACGTCACCTTTTAGAAGGTAAACTACAAGTTGGATTTTCTACCACAATTACCATGGGCCAGTCAAAATGACTTCTTTAATGGGTCGTTTTTAAAAACACAAAAATTACAAAGAACAATTTGATAAGGTTTTTAGTTGTTTGTCACACGAACGGTTAGTATTCAGGCAATCTATGTGAATTTTTAAGGCAACTTTAATAACCTTTTATAGCTGTTATAGGATAGGTTATAAGAAGCCGATTATATTAAAAGAAAAAAAGACGTTTCTGAGCCTATTTAGAAAATATATAGAAATAATAATAATTTATTAGCAGTTACAATGTTGATACACTTTAAGTCGCTGTGAAAAAAAGTATCCCGATATCGTATTATACTGATAGGAGCAAATGTGGCGTAGAAATAGACTAACGTTTATAGGTGGCCCAATTGAGACCCGAAGTGGTCGGTACGCTGTTATTGAGAGGTCTACTGCATGGCTCAAAATGTCAGCGTATTAAATCCTATCTTCAAATAGGGAACAGTATTTTTTTTTATAACGCTACTGCATTCTAGTTATGCATGCATTACTTTCAAAAAATAGAGAAAAACAAGTATTATACCATTACAAATTTCAGGTTCTGCACAAAAGCGACGGAAAAAGGCCCGAACTCTTCTTCGAATAGGTTCGGATTCTGAAACGCTTATTGGCCGAAATTAGTTTTGTGATAGTTAACAGGGAATACTTGCAAAGTGAGTTCCCTGACGCCCTGATTAGTTCTATATATATATATGCGTTAAGAAGAAAAATTTGTTGTTTTATATAACTGTGTCTACGTGAATATGTATCGAACCGACGTTTGTGAGAAGAGAAATGTTTTTGTACAATTGAAACATGAACATAGAAGGAAATAAGAGAGACAAATCGGACATAAATTCACGGTTAGATGACCCAATCAATTCCAGCTTCGACTGTTTGCGTATCGTCGTTGATGGTATTAGGGAAAAATCATACGCGCACCTTTTTCGCGCTGTACAGTATATTTTTTTTAACTCTTATAGATGATAATCTTATTTATATTCTATAAAATCTACCCAACTGCAAACGTCTGTCGCTTTCACTTCATTCAACGTTATATTACCGCTATTTCCGTTGACTTGGCTAAACTATAGAAAAGATTTCTTCTGTCTACAATATAAAAATAACTAAATTAAAAGAAAATAATAAAAAAAAAAAATAGCGCAACATTATAGTTCACATGCACGGTCTATTTGTTCATGATTAGTACTAGAAATAATTAAAAACTAGAAAAAATAAGAACTTTTCTGTGCAATGGCTAGATCCAAAAAAGTTTGCAAAAACGTCAAAGCTGAAGTTTTCGTTCGGACGGATGAAACTGATTCCGGGGGATGTGCAGTTATGATAACTAACACAGTTACATCGTAATAGCTTTCAACAACCACGTAAGGGTATAACAAACAACAATGAACGATTATTGGTGATATGGCACTTCCCGCTCGTTTTTCATTCGTTGTATCTTTTAGTAACCAGCTATAAGGCGTATTGATTTGACAAAAACGCTTGTTAATATTGACGCCAGTTCGCCATATTTGATATATATATATCGCGTACGTTGCTCTCTCTCTACAAGCCTTCCAGTTATAAAAGAGCAAGATATGTTTCGTATTCATTATCGGGATATGGTATTTCCACAGCCTGACCAAAACAGTCGGATCGTGTCAAATACAGGATTTTCTATATGAGGTTCCGATGGGGACAGTTCCTATATTCAGAGAGTCTTTCAATTCAGAGTCTTCTTCGTTCACGTTTTTAGATCACACCTATAACTCAAAACGATGATTAGCTAGCCTCACTGTTTATTTAATATTAGGCCACGTCGCAAAATGCTTCCTATTGCTTTTCCTATCTGGCCTAGTTCCTTCTGCGCATACTTGTGATATCTATTCAGAATATCTTTCGCTGTGTTTTACTAATCTACACATATAAAATGAGGGTAAGCGTCGAGGGCCAAGCACGAAGCAGGACAAACATCTATCGACTGTAAGGCTTCCACTACACATGAGGATTGATAGTTTCAACTTAGCCGGACAAATGCTATTCGGCCAGGGCCTATATTGATCTGAAGCCTATCGTAGTTGTACTCGTCCGACATGGTCGCTTTTGCTAAAATATCAGTCGAATCCTCAGTGGAAAAAGCCAGCACGCAACATTCACTGCTCGCACAGTTCGTTGCGGTAATACGGTCAGGGTCCCTTTGGTCGTTGGAGTAACAGTGCCGTAGCGAACCATTCAGCATAGAGCAAGCGGTCAGCTGTGAGGAACAATCGACTTCATCATAACCCAATGCCCAGAAATGTTATATTCTTACTTTAAACAAAATTGGACATGATATTTTAATCTATTGAGCGAAACTTATGAAGTAAACGAATTCAGTGTAAATATCGATATTATTATGTATTTCGATAATTTATCTGTGCTGGGAAGCGATCTCAAGCCCATACAAACATTCTGCCCCCCTAATTATAGTTAACTTAAGAAGGCTAACAGATGTTACTGTACTTGGTTTTCAGATACCTAGACATAACTTTAACGGCAACGTATTAGAACAATGTATGTGTGTGCAGGCCGCAAGTTCAACTTACCGGAATATAATTTTCGCCCAAACAGGGTACTCTGTTCCTTAAAACGTTTCGTCTGGATATTGCAGCGTATAATTATAGCAAGTCACATTTTCCAATGGAATTCTGGAGCTGGAAGTTTTAAACCTGTAGACAAAACACTATATATATATTTTTTTACATGCCTCAATATTGATTTCTAAATATATATCTTTTCTATTTTCTTTTTTTGTTTCTAAATATGTAAACTGACGTGGTAACTGTGTGAACCATTAGACGAACCTGCCTTACGAGCGACTGATTGATGTAAGACGTTCCACTTTACGGAAACCCAGAAATATCCTTAGAAAATCCAGAAAAGCCTTACGCTAACCGTTAGCGGGATGCGAGCTTTTATTACGAAAAGCTCTAAAGTTAATAAATAAGCTATAATGTAATTGTTGCCGTAGTCCTAGTGATGAAAAAAGCTGCGAGTTCAGCTGGCAGCGTGACATATTGATTCATGTAAAGGTCAGCATTATGTGATATCGTATGTAACTATAATAGACCTGTAGATCCTGCCCTGAACTGCTACTTAGTCTAACTGTCCGGACAAATTTTGCAAATAGTTATTACATGAACTATTTTATACGAGAGTGTTTCTGTTCGTCCGTGTAACGACCTTCCAATTATTTTATCATTTATCTTAAATATAGGAATGATACAGTAGAAAGCTACGAATATCTGCGCAAAAAGTGGCCATAGTACCCTCAGATATCCATATACTTACTGAAAATGCAATAATCTAAGGTTGTAGTACGACTAAGCTAGGCGTAATTTATACATAAATCCAGTGATGGATACAAAAGTCAAAATATTGAGCATCTGTATGAAATGACACAGCCTTGAAAACTGACAAGACCCTTACATCTTTGGTACAATGGGTTTGTTTTTCCAGGCATTCGACAGGAACACCTGAGAGTATGGTTCCTCAGTGTTATCCTCCGCCTCAACCACCGCCTGGCGGAGATTTCACACCACAACCGGTAAAAATGAACTTGTTTTATTAAAAAATAGCGTTGCCAGCAAACATGCTCAAATGGACGTAGTAGATTAACAAAACCCGCAGGAAATATTCACGGATCGATTTTTGCGGAAAGTTTTTACCCTTAAAACCAGGCTGAAAAAAACTTATAAACGGTTTAAAAAATGTAGTTATTTCGGTATAAAATTTGACTGCCTTTGTGACCTAACAGGCAACATCCGTTCGCAATTTCAAAAATACAATTTTTACGCCATATATGGCGTATGCCCTAATGAGTTATGGCTTTTTTTTTTGTTTACGCCATTCATTGTTGACCATTTTGATAGCGTTAAACATTTTTCTCATAAAAAAAAAAGCAGAAGAAAATAGAAAAAGTATTAATGTGTGGAGACGATTAACGTTTCAGCCGGAAGACTGCAGTAGCGACCAGGGTTCATCGAAAGACTGTAGTATACTGTATCCTTGGATGAGAAGTCAGTTTGGTAAGTGGATAGATAAATAGCGACCGTTAGTGTCCAGCTAGCAAGTTGTCTTGCCACATGATGCCGCTTGCCTTACCCAGACAGGTTTTATTAATAAGGCCAGCAAACCTTGCAGAATGTACAGCATGTTTAAAGCTAAGCCTAAAGAGACCTGGTAGCCGAAGTATGCTTGTCACAGAGGTTCACAGTAATGCTACTAACATTCGATCACAATGGCTTTCTGACAAATCGTCTGCTTTTCGACTATGGCTGTCGATGGTGCAGCAGAGCGCAAGAGAGGCCGCCAGACCTACACGCGCTTTCAGACGCTGGAGCTTGAAAAGGAGTTCCGTTTTAACCGTTACCTCACGCGCCGAAGGCGAATCGAAATCGCACATGCCCTCTGCCTCACGGAACGCCAGATTAAAATTTGGTTCCAAAACAGACGCATGAAATGGAAGAAGGTACGTGTATTATGTACTCTCAACGTATAACGTATCGTTGTAGTAGTGAACGTTATAAAATATGGATAATATTTTGAAAAAATCAAGTACAGATAACGTATCTGTAACTTACTGCGTTAATGTATAGATAAATGTGCCTTGTAGGTGAACGTGAATGTGTTGGCAAAATTAGATAAATATGGAACACTTGATGGAGCGTCTTTTTGTGCCGTTTCAGCTAACATAGAGAATTACCATACTGGGACTGCTTATAGTACAGTTACTGATTTACAGGGTTTCTGATTTGAATTGGGCGAGTGGCTGAAAAAAACTTATTATAGATTACTATTATAATTGATGCTTAAAAAATATTGCTTCCTTCGTTTGCATATATTTAAGGAAAAATTTTTTTGTAGCTTGAACAGTAACCGAAATCTCACAATTAAAAAATCTGCAAACATATACAATCAATTATTTACGAAAACAAACGTGGCTGTTCAGTTAACATGATATAGTAGTTCAATTTTCCTGTAGTAGCTTTAATAGAAACCACTGAGAAGAAGTTCGTAGCTACCTTTTAGCTTATATGGAGACCTGCTTTCTAGAGAGAAAAACCGATGTTTTATTTTAGGTGTATGCGCTTGGAAGCTAGCGCGAAGAACACCCCCCTGTTGTTTGATTAAGGATTTTCAGGTCTAACGAAGGGTATGCCTTTGTCGATGTATACACGTCATGCATGTATGCATGCATCTGTACGTGTGCTTTATGTTCTTCCGTGTCACACCTGTTTGCCCCTTGGCGCCTATCTTGCAGTAGTTTACCGTTAGCCACAACCACCATCACCAGGAACAGCCGTGTCTCTGCATTCAAATACCACCTTTACCTTGAGGCCTCGATCGGGCGCTGAGCCATCGCCATACTTATTCCTGCTAGCCTATTCTGCGCGTGTTTATAGGCCACTTGATGTGGGCCATTTCACCTCATAACAGTTTCTCTCACTGACGCACATAGCCCCTTCACATGGAACACACCAATGAAAGGTACCTTCATTCAGCGAACTCTGCGGCCACAAGCGCTGCGCTAGATTGAAGTATTCGTGGGCTTCGCTTACGAGTGGATCCTCCTTTGATCTTGTAGAAAACCCAAAGCCTCGTCAGTGCTTGCTTCTGCATATATCGTCATGCAATTGCTAGAGAAAACGCCTCCGTGAAAGTGCTGAGGACGTTTGTTTACTTCAGCTGTAAGCGACCGTGCTACATAAGTGGAAGTCAAGGAGCCATTACACGGCGGCAAATCGTAACGGTGACAGCACGAAGTACTTGGTAGCGTCTGTGCCTGTCGCCCCGGGTTCGGCGCCACAAACCTAACTTTATGGAGCACATCTATTTACAAGACTAAGCCGATGTCGCAGCCAGTGCAGTGGGCTGACTAGCGGCCGGCCATTGCCTCTCTCCCGCCCGCTCTGTTTGTCAGTCTGTCTGTCTGTCTATCTTACCACCCCGTGTCGCAACGCCGCTTAAGGACACTCGCAGTTTAAACAGCATATAGCGGAGAAAGCCAACGAACTTAGAGCGATCCTCTTCTTCTCCCGTTCACCGGTGGTCGAGGCGCAGGTAAGCGTCTGTCCTTGCTGCTGCTGCTGTTGTCAAAAGGCGGTACCCGCCTGTCTCCTCTGTTATGTACCTATAGTACATCTACTATGTTAAAGCCGCTCGGCGACTGGCTGGTGACGGCTGGCTCTCGCCTCTTGAGTGAATGCTAACTTATGAGATGGCTGCGGTAGCTCAAGTGATCGTCAAAACCCGCGGATCCCCCTTAGCATCGCATTGCTTCCCCGCTGAACGAATTCCCACCGCAGGACGGGGACGGGGGGGGGGGGGAATACCCGCAGCTTTTGCGTCGCTTCTCCTCCTTTTTCTTGGCCAGCAGCTATCTCGAACGACCGACCGCCTGCTCAGTTGCCAGGCCACAACAGCGACAGAAACGACCGCCATAATCAGCAGTCGGAGCAGCGGGCGCTGCAAAGTGACAATAATGAGAAGCAAAATGAAGAAGAAAAAAGAAAAGTGGCAACAACAGCATCGATGGCGGTAAGGTTTGCAGTACCGGCAGCAGAGGCAAGTCGTTGCCCCGCACCCTCCAACTAGCTTTGTGCGCTCGACGTAGCTTGCTGCAGACCGAAGAAATAGGTAGATTGCCTCTATCAGACGTCCGTTGCCCTGATGGGGCCGAAAGGTAGTGTGAAAAAGCGACGTTTACATTGGCTCTTACTTTGATAAAAGCGGGGTGGTAGTGGAGCTTGAAGTTGCGAAGGGGGGTAACTAACTGAGCGAAGGTTTTAGAAAAGCGCGCTCGCAAACGGCGGCTTGAGTGTCACGCGTTCGTAGTGAAGAATACTGGGATGGGCCCGCTGAGAACGATACCGTTAGTTGCCGCTACCGTCGCTAAACGGGCCCCATCCACCGCAAACTCTCTTTAAACAGCCCCTTTGCTATGCAAGCACTGTAGCAGGCTTTCGCCCCCTCAATATGGATAGACACCCCCGTGCGCTATGCATCCAGGTGCCCCCACCAATGTGACATCACTCACCTATCGCAGACGGAGGAGTAGGGGGGCTTCTGCTTCTCTGTGACGGTTTCTGGCGCGAACAACTTCAACCGCTGTCATCGCTGTCGCGTCTGCACAAGCAGACAGCATCGTCGCCATCGCTACAATCACTGGCAGTATCACGGCCGTTTCGAGCAGGCAGCGTGTGTCCCGGTTCATTTATATCCCTGTCTCTCTTATCGTAGCCATTGCCAGGAGCAGTTGCTTGACAACCAAAATTGGAACGGTGTTGTGCGTGGGAACCTTGTTCACGTCCGAAACATACGGGCCACGAACGAGTTGTCAAGTGATGCTGCTCATACAAATAGTGAACGTGCATCTGAGGGGCGATACATTTCAGCAATAGTAACGGAGAGTGCGTGACCGAGCATAAAGCAGTAAAAGGACAAAGCGAATTGTGAAGCCTGAATGGCGTGACGTTGAATTCAAGGAGAACGATGTCAGGTATCGCCTAGTGCCGGGCAACGTTGGCTCAAACGCGTAAGACAATGACAGCGGAAATTTCAAAATATAAGTTTACTAACTATACAGTAATAGTGCAAATGGCACAACGATGTTTTTTTTCTTAAAGTTATTTGTTTTCTTGCTTTTATAATCTAATCTTTGACAGTTTTACATCGGACTTGAAGGTTTCATGTTCGTAAAGTTAACTGAATTAGCAAACAGAAAACGCAGTCATTTTTAGACTAAATCTTAGAAATACTTTGGACTAGCTTTGCTGCTACGGTTTTACGATAATTAAGGGTAAGTCAACTTACCGGTGTGTCCTCGTTAGAAACTTCGCTGAATGTGTAAGAAGCCTGATTCAAGCAACTGGAAATACATTGCTAGGCCGTGGAGTCTTTGTACGTAGAATACCTAAGTGCAAGATCGCAAAAGCCAACAGTTTCGAATTCAACGTGTATACGCGTCGTTAGGATCGCGTGATCCTCTCCGCCATCTGGCCAAAAATCTCGATGAAGTCTGCCTCCTGAGCACTTAAAGAGTTGACTTAAATATCTGACGTAACGTACTTGGTGATGACTTCAAGGTCTTTACGCCATAATCACGCACATAATTTATGTTTCGGCTAGTCCATCCTTATTTTGAATTTGCTCAATCTATTTGCCAATTCCATAGCTCTAGCAGAAATCGGAGGAAAAAATCCTCGCGGTTCTTTTCTGATTACCTCTAGAGCTTATTTGATTTAGTGCAAAATAATTATGTAAGTTAATAATAATAACCATGCAAGTAAAGGTAATAATATTCTGTTCGAAAATTAAATCTAATTCCGCTAATCATTTTTATAAAATTACCATTATTTATAATATTGTTGTCAAGGGTTTATCTGGGTAATAAGCAGGTGGGTTTTCAACAACTATGATCTCGAGCGATCACCTCGTTTGATCGTCAGAGGGAGATCCCGTTATCTTCTCGCTTTCATTTTCACTACCGTCGCCCTGAGTAGCCTCCCTCTGAGGTTTTCCTAAGTGAAATACCCTCTACTCTGGTTAGCCATGTCGCAGTGAGCAGGAGGAACCGTTATCCTCATTATCTTCTAAGTAGTAACAAGTACATTATCGAGCTTCAGAATACAACACCGATACCATGCACACATCATAAAGCATCGTATTTTCTAGTTCAATTTCAATAGGAAATATATCGCTTTCGAAATATCATCGGCTGCCATTAGCGACCTAGATGCGTGGCTCTTTCCGAACCCATTGCGTCCTCAGCCTTTGATAAAGTTCTTGCGATTATGCAATGGTAGGCTGTTTGCCTACAAGGCGTACGTACACGTGAGGTGATCTAAGTTCAAGAGTTTAACGAAAAACACACGTAATGCCACGTACAATCCCTAAATACCAGAATAAATAACAGAACTCTATAGATAGAGCTCCGTTAGCTGACCCCGTAAGTGCGCTCGGCCGTATATCATTATCGACTAAAAAGACTATTCACTATTTCTATTCCACTAGATTCAGTATGAATAGTCAGCGTATTCTTTTCCTCCGCCAAATAGAATTGGTTCGCAGACATACTTTATCCGCCTGGCTGCTTGATAGAGGATTTGCTAGAAGCTCACACCAGCAGGCTTACACCCGCAGGTGAAGCCTTTATTTCGCTATCACAAAACGTGGAATGGAGTGGGAGAATCTGGTTAAGGGGGAGTGTTGGCAAAGAGCTTCCGGTGCGGGCGTCCACTAGGAGGCGCGTTACCTTCATACCCAATCGTTCGTACCACTTGCCTTCGTTCATTAGCAAACGGTAGACTGGTCGGGTGGCTGGCGATGCACCTGGGCTGACACTTGCATGTTAGGACGAAGCTCGGATAAAACTGTGCCTAACCGTGGCAGCTTCGGTTGCTGCTGTTACTACTACGTTTTCAGGAGATGGGATTTAGGCTGCTGCTACTGTCGCTGCTGCCTCAAGAA